GAGCTCTAGTCCTGCTTCTGACACTAACCTGCACTGTATAGCCTTGAACAAATTCTATTTTCTCTCCAGGCTTCAGATTTCTCCACCTATACAATTGAGGTAAATATGACCCGTGGTAATCTCAAAGGGTTCTCTAGGCTTTAATGTTCTGTGATTCTAAGTATGGGTCTGGTATTTGTGGCAAAGGAGGGAATTGAGCATCCTGTAGGACCTCTCACTTCTCCATCCTAGACTCTGCTTCTTTCTCCACTCTCTTCTCCTCAGTGATATGACAAGCTCCCAAGGCTTCATCATCACCTCTCTCGAAATGATTGTTAAAGATCTCCCTCTTAACATAATCTCTTTTCTGAGCTGCATTCCTATAATATCCTCCCTAGGAGGTTATCTCAATGAGGAAGTCCCATCACTTCTATTTCCATGTGGCTCGTCCCAAATTATCTCCTGCTAAAAATAGTCTCTCCCCTTCAGCATTTCTTGAATTCTATTTGTGGCCTCATTGTTGCCCAAGCCATCTAGATCTACCACATGAGCAGTATCTATGCTTTTTATGATTCACACAGACACATAACCAAGTCCTAGCCACTCTTCTTTCCCCAGTCTTTGACATTTACTTCTTCTACTCTAATTTAACTGCCACCATCTTATATTTACTCATTTGTTGCAAAAATGTCCAAACCAGTCTCCTTGCTTCTACCCTTGTTCCTCTAGAGACTACCATAGATAAGCCAAAGAAATCCTTTTAAAACACAAATCAGATTGTACCATCCCCATGTTCAGATCCCTTTTAATTATTCCTTATTCAGAATAAAAGCTAAAATCCTTTAAATGACCTGCAAGACCCTACATGATATATTTCCCCTCAACCATCTCCTTTTCAATCACATCCTCTACCAATTTTCCACTTCACTCACTCTTCCAGCCATGCTCCCTCTTTCCCCTTACAGTCCTTCATTTCTGAATTTAGTTTTAGTCTGTATTAGTTTTATAACATCACCATAACTATCACAAATTTAGTGGCTTGAGACAACAGAAAGTTATTATCTCACAATTCTAGAAGTCAGAAGTCTGCCATAGATCTTACTGAACTAAATTCAAGTTGTCAGTGGGCTATATTTCTTTCTGGGGGCTCTAGGGGATAATCCATTTTATTTTTATTTTTTGCCCTTTCTCAGCTTCTGGAGGTCATCCCCACTCAATGGCTCATGGTCCCCTTCTTCCATCTTCAAAGCTAGCAACATTATACCTCTCTGTACTTTTTTCTGCGATTACATTTTCCTCTCACTCTGACTCTTCTGTTTTCCTCTTCCATACAAGAACTTTTGTGATTACATTGATACCACCAAGATAATCCAAACTAATCTCTATATTAAGGCTAATTAATTAGCTACTTTAATTCCATCTGCAAATATAATTCCATCTCCTGTGCCATGTAAATTAACACATTCACAGGTTCTGGGAATTAGCATGTGGATATTTTTGGAGAGGTACAGTGTTTTGCCTACCACACTTTCTGTCTCATAGCAATGCCTTATTTTAATTTCATGGTACTCATCACCACCTGCCAAATTATATACAATACACTTTTTTTTTCTATTTATACATACATGTAATCAAAACAATCAAATAGCTTCATAATTCTTGTTAAAGAATTATGAAACTACTGATTTGGGGGGGTGGAGATTTTTAACTCCATTACTCTAAATAACATGCTGATATTGTTATCCCCTTTTCTATCTTCTACAGAAGATGAAGATTTGGCTTTCATTTACAACACTACCTCCATTCATCCCAATTCTTCACATGCATACTCATGCATTTTTTCTGTCTTCCCATTCTCTCATTAAATTCATAGATATTTTTGGTGGTAACAGCAAGATTCAGTGTTTATATTGCTGGGTCTTCGTGACTGAGCCATATCATATACAATTTTACTTTTCCATATTTATTTGTTTGTTTGTTTGTTTAATAACTATCTCTTCCAATTAGAAAGTAAGCTACATGGTCTGTTTAGCTCATTACTATATCCCCAGTACCTGAACAGTATCAAAAACATTGATTGTACATACTATGCATTTGTTCAGTACCTACTATGTACCTAGACTGATGCCTATACCCTTGTACCAGAACCTTGTAAAGCCAGACCTAGCAGGGCCTTTATCAATGAGCTAAGTCTATTATTTTCAAACCATTCAAGTCATAGACCCCTTTTCAGGCAAATGACATGTTAAAATCCCAATAAATCTAGCAGATAAAATCAGAGTTGTTCTGGTTAACGTGGATTTGGAAAGTTGAAACTGATAGTATGTGGGTAAATGTTTAAAAAACAGATTGCTGAAGGAAAAAAAAAAAAAGAAGCTCCGGTTTATGAATTTGCTGATTTTTATGGTATAAATATCCCTACCATGGCCAATTTGAAACTACCAACATCATGTTATCGAACACGGATTTGGGAAGAAATTTGTACAATCAACTCTTAGAATTCAAGATGGCTCTAAGACCCCACTGGTTGAAATAGTCACTTATACTTCCTTCTCCCCATTTCCTCCCAATTTCCTCCTAAAGAACCCCTAAGGATTTCCAGAACATAGCTTAAAAACATATGGATGAATACAACATCTTTAGAGTACAGATGAGAACATTGAGGCCCCAAGAAGATGATAAACCCAGGTCTCAATGCCCATTCCAATGTGGGTTTTTTGTTTTGTTTTGTTTTGTTTTTATCAATTGCACTATGCTGCTTATAACCTAATTAGTCCCTCATTTCCCTGCCTCAAATTTCCCCACCCTATTTCATTGGTATGCTACCAACAAATTTGGCCCTAAAACACAACTTTCAGCAGTACATGTCCCAGCTCTACTCTAAAACCTTCTATGGCTCCCATAGAAGACTATAAGGTCATCTTTAGGCATCTTGGCATGGTCTTCAAGACTCTCCACAATCTGCCAAAGATTTTCTTCTCCTTACATTTCTACATATACACCAAGCTAAAGTCTAACTGATTTTCTCCCTCTTCACCACAATTCTTATCTTTGCTGCCTCTAGGCTTTGCTGGCGCTCTCTCTCTCTCTCTCTCTCTCTCTCTCTCTCTGAATTCCCTTCCCATCCTCTTTGCCTATCCAGTGCAAACAAGGTCTCATGTCCCAGCCCACACTCCAGCTCCTCTGAGAAGCTTTCTTAGGCCACTGATGTCCATGGGGTTTGTTACCACCTCTGTACTCCCATTATACAAATGAGTTTCTGTCATCCCCCTGTCCCTTAGTATGTGAAGTCTATTATTGATATTTTGAATTTAAACACATCTGCATATCTTTTTAATGTATCTTTAGGTTAATGTTTATTTATCTTCAGATCCAGGAGGTTCTAACAAGAGGTAAGAGGGAATTCAAATAACACAGTCACCAGACCAGAGAAAAATTTACACCAGTCTCGTGGGGCATGAGCTTCCAGATCTTCATCATATTTACGCAAAAGTCTGTGTGTATATGTGTGTGTGTGTGGTGTGAGTGTGTGTGTGTGTGTGTGTGTGTGTGTGTGTGTGTGTGTAGATGTGTGGTGGCACTGGTGGTAGGGTACTGGTTGGAAAATATAAAAGGAGGGTTATCCCAAATTCAGGGTTCCCTGAGTGAGGACTCAATGGGAAAGAATGACTAGATGTTCCAGTGCAGTGGACTGAATGAAGTTACCAAAAAGCAAGGGACAACCAGACAAGGTAGATTCAATCTGGGAGGCAGAGAGGCTTGACAGAATTCCATGTTATAATGGCAAGGCCTAAAATGCTAGAATTTCATCTTAGCCTTTGCACAGTCCCAGATCACTTGTATGTAACCAAATTCCATCCCTTGGCAAACATTTGGAGGAGATAATGTCTCTTTTTGGAGTCACACTCTCCCCTGTGAAACTCATCTTTCCCCCAACCAAGGCCTCTCTTATCTCTCTAATCAGAAAAGAAGCTAATATTAGACCAGATGTTACTTATAATTCAATGTGAATTTGTTGTGTGCATTTCTCCTTTTGCAGGTCTTTATATTCTCAAAGCTTAGTAGACTGTGGGCAGTGTCAAACCTATAGGTAGACTGCTGGTGGACTTACAGTCACTTAGGTACCTGTGTAGAAAAACAATTAAGCTTCCTAGAAGCTTTAAGGTCATTCTCTTGCAGGTCATAGATCTGTACCAATTGAAAGTCATTGAAAATTTCAGCCTAATAAAGCATATCACTACCAGGTCAATGGGTGAATATTCTGGATACTAGATTTAATTTTTCCTTAATAATAAATAAAATATCCTTTATGAGCAGTAATGGGAACCCTTCCTGACAAAGAGGTGGAGCTATAGAAGAAAGTGATTCAAAGAGCTTTTCCAATATGAGATATGAGAGTATATTCTTCCACAACAGCCTTATCCATGGGTTTGACAATTATTTAAGCATTTATCTGTAGAAAGCCCTTTTATACACTTAATCTTTTGCACTCTCAAGCCCACAGACACACACTCCCAACACTTTGTTCATTTGCATAAGCTGAGCAAGCAAGGGTTAACAGTATGACTATTGAATATCACATAGGCCAAGAAAGTTGATTTCTTCTCCCTGGGCCTACCAGAAAGGAAAATACATCCTTACTGGAGGGAGCAGGCTCATCCCAAAGGTCACCCTCCAACCTCTAAGTCTTGTGGAAGAAACTTAAAATAAACATGGACTGGGATATCTAAAACCATAGAACCCCATTGGCTTCTGGGAAGGTCAAGTCAATACTCTAGTAAGGGGAAGAATTGCTTCGCTCACTCTCAAACCTCCAACCCTAGGCAAGAGAGGGAGGAGGATATTCATATGACTTGTGCTAAAATAGGGAAGGAAGGGAAATGTGAGATGGGACTGGGAGTTCGAGTGAGAGATATAGGGAAGGAAGGGAAGTGAGCAGGCACAGACACTGGCAGCCATCAAGAGTTCAAGACTTTGAAAGCAAGGGGCTGGAAGAAAGGAAAGAAGTGGCTCTGGTTGTGATGGGGCTCTTACTGGGCCTGCTGGTCCTGGGCGACCTAACAGTTGTCACCTATGGTAAGGAAACAAATGGGGGCCTGGAGGCCTCTGTTGGCACAGGCAAAAAGGTGGGAGTTTGGGATTGAATGCTTACTGAGGAAATCCCATTTCTGCTGAGCAGGTGAGTTTCTCAGCTAATGCTGCAGAAGAGAGGGAGGTAGTTAAAGACTGCTGAAAAAGCCAAGAGGTAAGTTTGCATAGAAATTGAGAAGAATTCTCTCTTGGAAAGTATTCACATGCTTTTATAGTACTTTTCTTATTTCAGAGACATTAAGAAGGTGCCCAATGCCACCTTGATTTTCAACTGAAATTCTATTGTGCCTTAACCCCTATGCTTCCAGGCTTTAATCTTTGTTAAGACAAAGAAGGAATGTTGTTAAAGAGCTAGATGGGACCTTAAAAGTAACCTGGATCTACCTTTCACTGTTATGAGCAAGTGATCAGAATATCTGTGCACATACTTCTAGAGACTGATAGTTCACTGCTTCCACAGATCATCTAGTCTATCCAGGGGCATCTCCAACTGTTAAAAAGTTCTTCCTTGTGTTGAATTAAATTAATTTCCCTGTGGCTTCTATCTAAAGTCTCAGCTCTGTTTTGGAGACACACAGATCATATCTGCTTCTTCTATGCTGTGACAGCCTTTTACAGTTCTGAGAACAGACATCATGTCCACTTGACACATCTTTTCTCCAAGCTAAACAGCCCCAGATCCTTCAAGTCATCTTCGCAAGACTTGGTTTCTTACCTTCTTCTGGGGTAACTCACTTCCCTGCAGACATGGCCCAGCTGGCTAATTGTGGGAGCTTAATACTGGACACATATCCCAAAAGAGGTCTGACTCCCCATAGTAGCATTATTTATTTGGGTCTTCTTCCAACTTCACTTATATTCCTGAGAATTGAGAGAACCGTTTTTTTTAAAATAAATAAATAAATAAATAAATAGATAGATAGATAGATAGATAGATAGATAAATAAATAGATAAACAAACAAACAAAGCTTGAGTAATAGCTAAGTGAGACCCAGCATAGGTCAAAGGCTTTTTTCTGCACTCTTATTTGTTCCATATCCTTGAGGGGAGAGACTTGATGATGTTATTTTGGTGTCCTTTGTATGGTCAGTATCCTGGGGCTCTGTGATCCATAGAATTCTAGAATCTCAAGCTCAAAAAGAAAATGAATTAAATCATCTGAGAGGGAAAAAAGTTTGTTCCAAGCCACAGAGCATTAGTGGCAGAGTTAATGCTCTTAAAGATAGTGTTCTTTCTATAACTACAATGTTTTTATTTTCTAACACATTTTAGAACATACCTCCCTACTTTCTCCAAATTTGTTGGTTTGAGCTGGGACTTGTAGAGGCAGGGCTGGGGCTCACAGAAATATTTTGTAAATGTTAAATTTAAATCATGTGGGTGTGCACATGAGTGCTCACATGTGTATTGTTCCCTCCCCAAGCTGTGAGGTCTCCCAGACCTGGAAGCAGGGCTTCCATTTGTGTGAAAAGTCTTACACTATAAATCTGAGGCTCAGGACATACAAAATGGCCAATAACACCTCACTTCTCCCTGTATCTCAGTGTCTCCAGCCCATCTGTACAGTGAAGAGAGATGCTTGGCTTGCCTCAAAGTACCCTGCCAGGTGGACAGCTCTGTAAGACTGTGGCTTCAATTCTAAAAAGTCTCTAGAGGCCCGAATCAGTTATTAAGTGTAAGACACATGTTGAAATAATAGCACTAAAAATAAGTCCTAACATTTTCATTTTATAAACATCATAAACATTTTATAGACATCTATTATCTAAGTTAATCCTCTATCCAGGAGGAAGCCCAAGAGCGGGAGAGAGATTAGATACAGGAGTGTGTGGTTATGGGAAGATCTCACCCTCTGTGTAGTGGTAGAAGAAAGAAGATTTTAAAAAAGACCCATATTAGTTTTTATAAAGGGGCTCACACCCATAAAACTATGTCTTTCCTTTCTTTAGAATCATCACAAAGGGCCCAGACCTTTGCTTTTCTAAGTCCAGGTCCCAGGCCCAGAGTAGGCCCCAGTACTGTTCCCTCTTTCTCAAATTCAATCCTTTATAAGCAAATCCCTTGATCCAATTCCTAGTTCTGGTTCTTCACTTGAGGAAGGTGGGGGGCAATTTTTGAAGAAAGTTTAATCTTTCCCTGATGGGGGAGAACAAGGCTCAGAAGTTCTTAAAAAAGCTTTTTAGAAAGCAGCCGACAGGGTGGGAGTGGGAGGGTTCTTTTACAGGCAGTCAAGGGGATATTATCCAGCCCTAGGATAACATCCCTTAAACCATGCCAAGTAGGCCCAGGTAAGTGGTTGCTGTTTTCAGTTGTGGCTGCTGGTTTAATAAGAAGATAAGACGACAGAGTAGCATTTGAAAGCCTTTATTCTAGGCCTCCAGGCACAGCTCTGCTCCTGCTCTCTGTGTGACTGGATAAGCATCTATCTCTCTCTGAGCCTCAGCTTGCCCATATGTACCATGAGGGAATGCAACTAAGTGTTTCACAGATCTCTTTTAACTATGCCATTCTAGAAGTCTCCAAATTCTATCCTGCTTGGTATCTCAAGCCCTATTGTACCAAGTACCTGACTATTTGGTAGTTTTCATGGATCCATAATGAGCAGAGCAACTCCTACCCAATATTCCAGGAAAGTCAGGCTTAATATGGCCAACATTTCACATTGGCTGTCATGCCAACCTTGTTGGAGATACAGACTGCTGTATCCTTTCTGGATATTCTACAATACAGGGATGGCCTATTATCTATCTGTAACTTGGGAGGTTCCATCAGACTGGGAAGGGTAACTCCTTACCTATTCATGTGCTAACTTCTCCTTCAGGTCATTATTAAAACTGACAATGATCCAAACTAATGAATTCATCCTGGGAAGACATATTGAGGGCTTCCATAGGATAAGAAGAATCAAGACAAATATGAGAAGTTTCTCTTGAGGCATGGACAAGACTGACATTTATCCAGCACCTACTGAATGCCATCCACTATGCTAGGTGCTTTCCACACTTGTGAGCCCATTTTATTTCCTTAACAACTCTACATTTAAGGTTTATTATTACCTCATTTTATTGACAAATATTTGAAGCTCAGATAGGTTTAGCAATTAATCCAAGGTCACACAGAGAGACATATGGTAGGGCAGGCCTTGGACTTAGACTGGTGTTGTTCTTACTACATCATGTAGTCTTTCACTACCCTCTTAATCTCACTAGATGCTCCTACTCAATGTTCCTTTAGATTATCTTAGCACCACAGGAATAGTTGGAAGGTATAAGTTAATGCTATTGAAGTTACCTACTCTTTGGAGATCAGAGTATGTGAGGAATAGCACAATGTCCCCTTTCTTGTGATGCCTTGTGCCCACCATATACTCTCTCTTTATGCTGCTAATGAAGGAGGAGGAGGAAGACAACAAAAGAACAAGAAAAAGAAGGAGGAAGAAGAGAATAAAGATGAAAGGATGGGTAGAAGGAAGGAGAGAGGAAGAAAAAAATTAAAAAGAGAAAAAATGCCATTCTTGGAAGGCTGGTTACTAACTCTCCCATGCCCCTATTCTGAGATGGAAAAGTCATGCCTGACTTACTTCTAGAAGTGACTTTCAGGATTGGGGAATTGGAACTGGCTGTCTATGTTCTTGACATACTCGAGTGAGCTATGTGAGAATTTCCAGCAAGTTCCTGGAGAGTGTAATGTGAGCCAGGCCTTGTAGCTCCCCCAAGGTCAGAGAGAAGACATACATATTCATAGACAAAGGCATTTTCAGCTGCTCCAGATGTCCTCACAGCAGAATGCTGCTTTGTTACCCAAGAGAGAAGTATGAGAATGATTTTCAAAGGAAGGGAGGGAGATTTTGAAGGGCCAGAGGAAGACTAAGAGGAAAGAGCATATTGAAAAGAAAGGCTTAGATGGTCTTCATGGGACTTAAGGTTGGTATTTTTGTGCTTGCAAGTGACTAAAAATATGTATGGGCATGTATGTGCATGATGATAAGCTGTATCTGCATGCATATGGAAGCATGAACTATCAATAGCATAGCGAATCCCACCATCCAATGAAAGTTCATCACCAGCTAAAACATATAGTTATTTAACTTCTGTTTCCATTACAGTCTATTAGCCCTGAACAATTTAGAATTGGAAGGGACCTTAAAGAGTAATTCTGTCCAGGACCTAAACAAAGCTCAGAACTTCCCCCTAGATATCTAGGCCCATAAATAGCACCAATTAATTATAAAGTTTATTTTTAGAGTAAACCAAAATCTTCCCCTATTGTGCTCTCATTCATGGGTCTGAGTTCTGCTCCCTGCCCGTTCTTAAATGCTCCAGAGTATATGTGGTGGATCTAACAATATGGATTCATGTTTATGTATTATTTTCTACTCAAGGCTTTTATCCTGGCCCAGATATGCTAATGATGTTCTAAGAATTCGCTGATGAGGGCACAGGCCAGAAGCTTGACATTAGCCTCCCCATTGATAGAAGCTTTGGTAGTTGGCAAAACATTCTAGGAGCTAAAAAACATGCCCTCACCCCATCTTCCATCTCCTTGACTAAAGCCTGGGAATCATGGGCTACATAAAAATCTTGTATTCAGTAATAATTCACACTGTGAAACTACCTGTCCTAGAAAAGACAAAAAAATTGTCTAAATTCAATCCTTCACTTTTGGTCTCAGTTAAATAAAATGCAAAATCTTCAAAATATGAGTTTATAGATGGAAATTTTTGATGGCTCTCTCAACATCTCCACCTTTCTCACTCTAAGTTTCCCTCCCCAGTACACCAAGAAGCAGTATAACTTTGGTCCCCATTCTTACCTCAGTGAGCTCTAGGTTTTACTCATACCCTTTTCCTCTCCAGACCTTTCCCTCTCCATTTCTCCTCAGGATGAGATTTTCCAATGTACCTCTGCTTAGAACTAAGAGAACCGCCCCCCGCCCCCCCAAAAAAAATAAACAAAGGAGGAGAGAAATCAGGGGAAAAAAATCAGGCCTACAAAATGCAGTTTTCTAACTTAACAATAACTAATGATTTTTTTTTTTAAACAGGACTGCATCTCACACAAGTTTCCACCCTCAGAATTGTCCTTTCCCTGCTTCCTTCCTTCCTTCCTTCCTTCCTTGCTTCCTTCCTTCCTTCCTTCCTTCCTTCCTTCCTTCCTTCCTTCCAGAGAAGAGATTAGGGTTGGGGATCCGATCACTGAGCCCATTTAAGGAAGCAATGTGGGATAAATAGAGTAGATAGCACTTTCTTTCTGAGCCCCACAGTCTCCACATTTCTTCAGGTATATAATCACATACAATAGAATACCTCAGACCTAACTTCTCAGCATTTGCTTTCACAATTATTTTGGAAAATGAAAGAAATTTTTTTCTTTTTTTCATGGATTTACAGAATGTCAGAGTTTGCAGAAAACTTAGAGATCATTTGATTTAAACTCATTATAGGTGAAGAAAATGGGTCTTTTGTTGTAGAAAGCTATGTACCCAGGGTCACCTCACAATACAGAAGTGACAGAAAAAGGACTTGGAACTTATAAAAGCTAAATAATCTTAAGGGCTTTCCTTCTTGGGACTGGTTCTAGCTGATGAGAAAGCTGGCAGAGAATAAAAGGGTACAGAAAATCTGAAAGTGTGATTGAAGGAAAGTTGAAGGATATTTCTCAGAAGCCTCTTGAGGACTGCCACTGCTACCCTAGCTCCCAGGTGAGTGTGCCATCTATGTCTGCATTTTTCCTCTGTTTCTCATCTTCAGGCCATCCCATCCTGGAAGCACCCGAGAGTGTGAGAGGGCCTTGGAAAGGAGATGTGAATATTCCCTGCACCTATGGCCCTCTGCAAGGCTACACCCAAGTCTTGGTAAAGTGGTTGGTACAACGTGGCTCAGACCCAGTCACCATCTTCCTACGTGACTCTTCTGGAGACCATATCCAGCAAGCAAAGTACTGGGGCCGCCTGTATGTGAACCATGAGGTTCTAGGAGATGTTTCCCTCCAACTGAATACTCTGGAGATGGATGACCGGAGCCACTACACTTGTGAAGTCACTTGGCAGACCCCTGATGGCAACCAAGTGGTGAGAGATAAGATCATTGAACTCCGTGTCCAGAAACGTGAGTCATCATGGGGGTAGGAAGACACTGATAGGCAAAGACCCAATAGAGGACTGTAATTCTAGAAAACCCTGAGAAACCCAAAGACTTTTGTTAAACTGTACATAGTCTCTCCCTTCTGTTATATGTGCTAATCAGAAGAAATGGACAAATAATCCTCAGAGTCATCACTCCCATAGCATAATTTTAAAAGTGTTGGGAAGGGTTCCTGGCTTTCAAATCTCTATCCCTTCAGATGTCCTAGAAATTCCAGCATCCACAGCCTTGTTTCCCTTCTTGGGATCTGGGTCTTAAAACTCATAAAAATTAGTGTAGCTTATCAGGATATCGAAATGTGGATTGATGCTGACAGAGAAACCCTGAGGAAAGTGATGCAGGGCTTAGCCAAGATAAATTTGGTTGGCTTGGCAACTTTATATCTATCCTTTATAATCTAAAAACTGCAGATAATCCCAAAACTCCATTTGAGCTTAAAAAAAAAAAAAAAACTATATTATTTTTTTAAAGTCAGTTGGTTTTCAACTCCAGATAATCCAAAACCCCAGATACTACAAAGTAGTACCTAATCCTCCAAAGTAAGCTATTTTTGTTTACATTGTCCTATTCCTTCTTCTTTTCCAAGTCACGAGCCCTTTTTAGTTCCCTTTGCAGAGAAATGCACACCCCTATACCCATAATGGATGACTCGGCCTTGTGTTCCCATATCTTTATAACTTCCCAGAGCCTCCTCTCTTGTTTTCCTTTTGCAGTCTCTGTTTCCAAGCCCACAGTGACGACTGGCAATGGCTATGGCTTCACAGTGCCCCAGGGAATGAGGATTAGCCTTCAGTGTGAGGCTTGGGGTTCTCCTCCCATCAGATATGTTTGGTACAAGAAACAGACTAACAACCAAGAACACATTCGATTAGCAAACTTGAGTACTTTACTCTTCAAACCTGCTGTGATGGCTGACTCGGGCTACTATTTTTGTACTGCCAAGGGACGGGTAGGCTCTGAACAGCACAGCGACATTGTGAAGTTTGTGGTCAAAGGTGAGCAACCCTCTCTCCTGGTTAGCATCTCAATGGACCACCTTGTTCCAGAGATACCTTAGTAGAGTGTCCTTATTCCAAAGAACAAAAAAGATTGATTTATGTGTGTGGATGGGGGGCCTTGGTTGTACAATCACAAAGAAAAAAAATAATTCTGGACAGAGGACAATAAGGCAGGAGACAATATCTGTCATGTTATAGATTGAGTAAAGATGATATAGGGAAAAGGGACATTTACTAGGTACCTTGTATTTGCCAGACACAATGCACAAGAACCCAAAACACATTTTCTTATTGAATTCCACAGCTATCTCATTTTAAAGAAGAGGAAATTGAGAGTCAGAAAGGGAAACCTACTTACCAAGAGGCTTGTATATAGGAAGTTCAAGTCAGATTTGCACTCAGATTTTATGTTCTTTCTACTATATCCGATTGTCTCTCATGGTTGAATCTATACTAGCTCCTAAATACCCTTTGGAATATTTTTGTTTGTTTGTTTGTTGTTTGGTTTGGTGAGATAATTTGTTATTTTGTTGTTTATATTTGATTTTGCTTTGTGAAATAAAGACAGATCTCTACATAGTTCCTTTAAATTTCTCTCCCTTCTTCCTAAAACAGAATGCAAGTTGTAGTTGAGGTGTCAATGAATATTGACCCTCATTAATCAAGGTCTGACTATTTCTTACAGCATTATCCTAGGGGCAATACAAACTCTGTACATAAAGGCTACAGGTGAGGGTTTAAATGACCAGCCCAGGAGTGACATGTAAAAGTGAGTCCTATCACCTTCGAAAAGGTCTCCTTGGAAGTGAAGACATATATTCCAACAAAGCTGCCATTGTTCAAAGTATTTTAAGAAATAATTGATTTTAGAGAAATTTCCTCAGAGCAATGTGAAAATTACTATTCTCTGAAGATAGCTCCATAGAAAGGAAAATAAGCAAACAGGCTCTCACAAATTGGGTTAGGAGAGTGATGTTAGTTTTTTTGTTTACTTATTATGTTCTTTAGATGCCATATATAAATGAAATCATATGGTATTTGTCTTTTTCTGACTGACTTACTTCACTTAGCATAATACCCTCTATATCTATTTATGTTGTCACAAATGGTAAGATTTTGCTCTTTTTTATGGCTGAGTAATATTCCATTGTGCATATTTACTGCTTCTTTATCCAATCATCTCTTGATGTGCACATAGGTTGCTTCTATATCTTAGCTATTGTAAATAATACTGCAATGAACATAGGAGTGCATGTATCTTTTCAAACTAGTGTTTTGGATTTCTTTTCTGGGTCCTATAGTAGTTCTATTTTTAATATTTTGAGGAACTGCCATAGTGCTTTCCATAGTGGATGCAACAATTTGAAATCCCGTTAATAGTGCTGGAGGGTTCCTTTTTCTCCACATCCTTGCCAGTACTTGATTTTTTTTATTTATTGATACTTGTTTTTTTTTTAATTGATGACTGCCATTCCAACAGGGTTGAGGTGATATTTTATTGTGATTTTAACTTTCATTTCTCTGATTAGTGATGTTGTACATCTATTCATATGTCTTTTGGCCATCTGTATGTCCTCAGATGAAAGGTCTATTTAGGTTCACTGCCAATATTTAATTGTATTGTTTGGTTTTGGGCATTAAGTTATTTAAGTTATTTATGAAGTCTTGATATTAACCCCTTATTGGATATATCATTGGTGAATATCTTCCCCTATTCAGTTGGTTATCTTTTAATTTTGTTGATGGTTACCTTTGTTGTGCAAAATCTTTTTAATTTGATGTAGTTTCATTTGTTTATTATTTCTTTTGTTTCTCTTGTCCAAGAACATATATCAAAAAACAAAAAAAAAAATTACCAAGAACAATGTCAGAGAGTTTACTGCCTATGTTTTCTTCTAAGAGTTTTACGATTTTGGGTCTCACATTTAAGTCTTTAATTATTTTGAGTTTATTCTTGTATATGATGTGAAAAGATGGTGTAGTTTCATTTTTTGATGTATTTGTCCAGTTTTTCCAACACCACTTAAAATAGACTCCTTTTCTCTCCATTGTATATTCATGCCTCCTTTGTCATAAATTAACTGACCATGTAGGCATGGGATTATTTCTGAACTCTCTAATCTGTTCCATTGATCTACATGTCTTTTTTCATGCTAATACCATGCTGTTTTGATTACTATAGTCTTGTAGTATACTTCGATATCAGGTATTGTAATACCTATAACTTTGTTATTCTTTCTCAAGATTGCTGTGACTATTTGAGATTCCATGGAAATTATAGGATTATTTATTGTAGTTCTGTGAAAAAATGCCGTTAATATTTTGATAGGAATTGTATTGAATTTATAGATTGCTTTGGATAGTATGGAAATTTTAAGGATGTTAATTCTTCCTATCCATGAGCATGATATATGCTTCCATTAATTTTTATCTTCAGTTTTTTTTCTTCAATGTTATAATTTTCCAAATAAGGTCTTTTACCACATGGGTTAAATTTATTCCTAGTTATTTTTTGATGCAATTGTACATAGGACTGTTTTCTTAATTTCTCTTTCTGACAGTTTGTTATTTGTGTATAAAAATGCAATCAATTTCTGAATACTAATTTTGTATCGTGCTACTTTACTTAATTCATTTCTCAGTTCTAATAATTCTTTTGGTGGAATATTTAGTTTTTTTTTCTATATAGTATCATGTCATCTGCAAATGATGACACTTGTATTATTTTTTTTCTAATTTGGATTCCTTTGATTTATTTTTCTTGTCTGAATCCTGTGGTTAGGACTTCCAATACCATGTTAAATAATAGTAGTAAAAGTGAACATTCTTGTCTCACTCCTTATCACAAGAAAAAATGCTTTTAGCTTTTCACTATTGAGTATGATGTTAGCTGTGGGTTTGTCAGATACAGCCTTTATTATGTTGAAGTATACTCCCTCTATTTCCATTTTGCTAAACTTTTTCTTTTTTATCATAAATGAGTGCTAGATTTTGTCAAACACATTTTTCTGGATCTATTGGTATGATATGATTTTTATTTTTTATTTTGTTCATGTAATGTATCACATTAATTGATTTGTGGATATTGAATTTAACATGCATCCCAAAAATAAATCCAACTTGATCATGGTGTATGATCTTTTTAATGTATTGCTGAATTTGGTTTGCTGATATTTTGTTGAGGATTTTTGCATCTATATTCATCATGGATATTAGCCTATAATTTTTTTGTAATGTGTTTGTCTGGTTTCAGAATCAACATAATAGTGGCCTCACAAAAAATTGAGAGTCTTCCCTCCTCTTCAATATTTTGAAATACTTTCAGAAGGATAGGTGTTAATTCTTCATTCAATGTTTGGTAAAATTTACCTGTGCAGCCATCTGGGCCAGGACTTTTGTTTGTTGGAATTTCATTCATAGTAATCAGTCTGTTAAAATTTTCTGTTTCTTCTTGATTTGGTCTTGGGAGATTGTATGTTTCTAAGAATGTATCCATTTCTTTCAGGTTTTCCAATTTGTTGGCATATGATTGTTCATAGTGTTTTATTCCAATCTTGTATTTTTGTTGTGTCAGTTGTCCCCTATGCTCTTTCATTTCTGATTTTATTTTAGTGACCTCTTTTTTCATCAGTTTGGTTAAAGGTTTATCAATTTTATTTATCTTTTCAAAGATACAGCTCTTGGTTTCTTTGATCTTTTGTATTATTTTTAAAGTTTTTCTTTCTTTTATTTTTATTCTCATCTTTATTATTCTCTTCCTTCTACTCACTGTGAGCTTCGTTTGTTGTTTTTTCTCTAGTACTTTAGGTGTAAGGTTAGATTATTCATTTAAGATTTTTCTTGTTTCTTGAGGTGGACTTGTATTGATATGAATGTTCCTCTTAGGACTGCTTTTTGCTGTGCCCCATATATTTCGAGTTATTGTGTTTTCATTTTCATCTTTATCTAGGTATTTCTTGACTCCTTTCTTGATCTCATTATTAACTCATTCATGATTAGTAGCATGCTATTTAGCCTCCATGTGATAAATGTATTTTTCAGTGTTTTTTTTTTTGTAATTGATTTCTTCTTTCATACCATTGTTGTTAAAAAAAGTTGTTTGGCAAAATTTCTCTCTTCTTAAATTTATGAACTCTTGTTTTGTGGCCTCAACGTGTGACCTATCTTGGACAATGTTCCATGTGCACTTGAAAAGAATATGAATTCTGCTGCTTTGGAGGTGAAAAGTTCTAAAACTATCAATTTCATTAGGTCCAATGTGTCAATTAAGACTGCTTTTTTTCTTGTTGATTTTTTGCCTGGAAGATCTAATCATTGGGGTGTCAATAGGATATTAAAGTCCTCTGCTATGTTGGGTGCATGTTTACAAGGATTATAGCTTCTTGTTTGATTGATATCTTTTTCATTATAAAATGTTCCTTTTGTCTCTTATTATAGCTTTTGTTTTAAAGTCTATTTTATCTGATATAAGTATTGATATCACAGTATTTTTGTTTCCATTTGCATAATTTCTTTCCTTTTTTTACATTCAATCTGTGTGTGCTTTTGATTGAAAGTGAGTATCTTCTTTTTTGGAAAATGGTGAAGTGGTAGTTGTCCCCAGATCTCTCTCCTTGAAACAACAATAAGCTGAACATCTAAAACTCAACAAAAACACCCAAACTGCCCACCAGCACGTCTGAGCATGAGATCTGCTCATAAGAGCTACCACATGTCAGAATCATGGGTGTCATGCAGTGGAATGGGAGAAATAAAGAAACTGCCTCTTGCATCTACCAGAGCTCCCTTAGGAGGAAGAGGAGAGGAGAAGATGCAGCGAATTGCCTGAACTCTGCCAGGGAGAATTGTGAGTTCCACGCATTTGGCAGCAAGACCCAGTTATCAGGGCAGAACGCAGAGAAGCAGGAAGGCAGAAAAACAACAGTTGATTTTTACCAGCCATGGTTGCAAAACCAAGGATAAGCTGCAGCCCTCATCCCTCAACCTAGATGGCCTCT